ATTTGAATAATTAAATATTGGATCGGGTCAAGTTTAACAGATGGGCCGAGCCCATTTGGACTTATATTAATAGGCTACTATGGTTTGAAGAGTTTGGGGAATTCATCAAAGATATCATTCTCATCACAGTTTCTATCTAAACACATTGCAGATTCTCGTTTGGAAATTGAAAATTGTTTTATTTCCGCTGTGCATGATTAAGTAAATTCCCAACAAATAGAACCATCTCTATTAATATTTTAGCACACCTCCCCCAATCCGTGTTCTGTGTGCAAACCAGTGGTTTCTCCAAGTTGCTCAATCATGCTAGATAGTTGAGTAGCAGTGTCAACTTCATGCATTACTTCCATTGCTATCCTAGTTATCCAAGGTTGGGGACCCTTCTGTGGCTTGTCATGTGTGGCACCGTTCACCCTTACATTCACGGCATCTCTGGTGATTGCTCATTAAAAGCACTATTATTGAGTTTTGTAGCTTTATCCTATTACCCCACCCTTCTTTAAAACCATAATCGCAAAAAGTAAAGAATTAAAAGGTTCAATTAAAGTTGAATCGTGTACGAACTAGAGACCAAACATTATTAATTTAGTCAACAACAACATAATATAATTTACAAATGTAAATTAATTTCAATCAATATAAAACAAATACTATATCAATTACTAAACATTAAAGTTGTTTAATGTAACGAATATTCATAACATTGGATGATATATGTGAAAGCTAAAATGTTCCATAAAAGTCATATGATGTTCTTGAAGTTATATGTAGCTATAAATATACAAGAATGGGTTTTTAAATATAAAAAAATTAGTATACCATCGTAACATAAAAGTAAAGAGGAAATTTCATATGAAAAGCCAAGTTAAAATGAGAAAATAAAGGGAAAAAATTGACAAACAAAAGTCTGCCAAACACTTTTTGGAGCTTCTTTAATCCAGATACATGACAATCTATCGACTTGGAGTATGGCAGTCATGAATGCGGTACAACATGGCCCTTTATCTAGCCACTACCTCGACTCTGTAACGAATCTTCTATCTAATGTTCCATTTTCGCAGTGTAAGCAGAATTCTTTCAAAAACGAGAAGCCAACCTCTTAAAATCGATTTACAACCTCTTCTTACTAACCATCTTTTCCTCCTGTTCCGCAAATTCAAAGTCTCTTCTTCATTTGAGAAGGGTGCTTCTATCTCTGTTGAAGGCAAAAATTTCATCACCTTCCTAGATAATTCATTTATCTGTGGCTTTTATGGCATGGGAAGCAAAGCTTACTGGTTTGCAATTTGGTTCATCAATTCTAAAGAAAAAACTGCTGTTTGGACAGCCAACTGGGACAGGCTCGTCAACAGCCAGGGCTCAAGATTATCTATTCGGAGAGATGGAACCATGGTCTTGACAGATATTGATGGCAGCATTAAATGGCAGACAAATACAACCAGTGCTGATGTTGCAGCTGAGCTTCTTAATACAGGCAACCTCGTTTTTGACGAATCCACGAGGCAGATATTCTCTGGAAAAGTTTTGATGTTCCTACGGATACTCTTTCACCTACTCAAATATTCACCAAGAACAAAAAATTGACATCGTCGTTAAGAAAGGGAAGTTTTGAATCAGGTTACTTCAATTTATATTTTGGTACTGACAATGTTTTACGTTAATCTCTGATAGCCCTGAAACATCTAGCATCAACTGGCCAAATCCTTCTTATGATATCTCTACAAATGGAAGAACCAACTACAACAGTAGCAGAATAGCAGTTTGGATAATATGGGCATGTTTCAATCAAGTGATCAATTGCAAGCCAATGCTTCTGATCAAGGATTTGGGATAAAAAGAAGGTTAACAATAGACCATGATGAAAATCTTAGAATCTATAGTTTAATTAATTCAACGGGACTATGGATGATAACACGGCAAGCGTTTTCACAACCTTGTCAAGTACATGGAGTGTGTGGAAGAAATGCGATCTGTGTTTATGCACTGAAACCCAAGTGCATATGTACCCCTGGATTTGAAGTAAATGATCCAAGTGACTGGAGTGATGGTTGTAAGCCTGCTTTCAAAGAAAACCTCTTGAATTCACAAGTAAAATTTGTGGAGCTTTCCCAGACAAATTATATTGGGTTTGATCTGGATTTCCAACCAGATTTTACACTTGAAGCTTGCCAAAAACTATGTTTAGGAATTCCCATTGCAAGGCATTTACCTACAGGACATGAGGAAATGGACATAGCTATGCAAGAAGTGATCTTTTTAATGACTTTACATCTCCAGATTTTCCTGGAAGTGTATATATTAAACTCCCCAGGAGTGTAAAAGTATCAAAAACCATCAATTTTTAATGGTTCCGGCACAACGTGTGAATCTTATGAAGTAGAAATTCCTGTAGGTTCTCCACGTATGTATCACTTCGCCAGAAAGGCGGTGAGATGGGCGTATACCTATTCATTTTGTGTGGCCTTGGAACAATTGGACTAATATTTATTGTATTAGGCTGGTGGTTTTTCTATTCAGGAAACAAGGTGTTCCAGCTTTGGTTGAAGCTGGATATCGCATCATATCAAGTCAGTTCAGGAGGTTTAACTACACTGAACTGTAGAAAGTAACCAATAACTTCAGGGAAGAGCTAGGATGAGGTGGCTCTGGCGCCATTTATAAGGGTGTTTTGGCAGATGATAGAGTGGTGGCAGTGAAGACACTGGGAGATTTTTTCAAGCACAAGGCGAGTTCTGGGCAGATATGAGAACCGTAGGAAAGATCAATCACATAATTTTGTGAGAATGTGGGGATTTTGTTCAGAAGGGAGACACCGACTCTTAGCAAATGAATATGTCGACAACAAGTCACTTGACAAACATCTTTTCAACTCAAATTTTCTAGGATGGAAACAAAGATATGCAGTTGCATTAGGTATGGCCAAAGGTTTGGCCTACATCCACCACGAATGTCTAGAATGGTTTATCCATTGTGATGTGAAGCCGGAAAATATTCTTCTAGACATTGAATTTCAACCCAAGATTCCAGATTTTGGGCTTGCAAAACTGTCCCGGAGAGATGGCCCTGGTTCAGAGGGACAAAAGGCTACATGGCTCCTGAGTGGGCACTGAACCATCGTATCACTGCAAAGGTCAATGTCTATGGATATGGAGTTGTAGTCCTGGAGATGATAAAGGGAATGAAGCTCTCAAATTGGGCGGTAGATAGTACAGACAACCAAGAACTTCCCCTTAAAAGTTTATGCAAAACAGTGAAGGAAAAAGTTCAGTGTGGAAACTCCTCTTGGGTAAAGAGCATAGTAGATCCACGATTGGAAGGTACGTTTAGAAGAAACCAGGCAGCTACATTGATTCTAATAGCCATTTCTTGTGTAGAGGAATATAGAAGCAAGAGGCCAACAATGGCTTCAGTGGCCCAAACTCTCATGGAATGCGAAGATGGAACAGAAATCACAATTCCAGTCAAAATGTAATTGCTTAATCTTCCACTTTTTCTTTTATGTAAATAGTATTAGAAAAATGTCTCGGAAAATAACATGAATTTATTACTGTTATAAGCTTTATTTTGCTTTATACATTCGATGATATTACAAAGCTATCTGTAAGTGGGGATATGAAATGACAACTAAGAATATTATCATTATTGAACAAAAAAAAAAAATTCTAAAGAAAGAATCTTGAACGTTTCCAACTTTCTAGTAAAGAATATCAAACAAGGCCTATCAAAACCTTTAGTGAGAATATATGCTAATTGTTTCTAGGTAGGAATGAACATCATACATATCATTTATCAAATTAGAAAAGAATCACTTACTTAACAAAAATTGTCTCGTAAGTCATCATTTTAAAAATGATTCTGCATCCAATTCTCATTTTACATTCTCCTTTCTGAGGCTGGTAGAGGTCTGTGTTTAGCAAACGATGCCTTTTGTATGCTAATATGATTGCAGTATCTTAACTAAGCAATATAAATTTTTTCTGTGTCCTTCTAATAGGCTGCATCCTGTCAAGGATTCTTGGTCGGCTAGTCCTAGTTTGATCTCTATCTGAACATTAGTTTACTTAAATATTGGAGTAATAATTTCTGTTTCCCTTTACCAAAGAAATATGCTGAAATTTGCTATCCACGCAGAAGATTTGTTACCTTCATCTGATTCCCTCTAAACCATACAAAAAATTGTAAAATAATATTTCTGGAATCTGGAAAGATAGTGATTCAGTAAGCTGAATAGTCTGGATTCCATGTTAAAATAGGAGAGTATCTCTTTAGATATTAATCTGTTCTGGCACATGATTCCATGCACTTTCCATGAGAGATTTAGATGGCAGTCCAAGATTCATTAAACATCTTTTTAAGTTAATATGGTTTGAAATGACTGTAAAAATTTGATTTTGCTGAATTTCATTTTGACAATGAATTGAGTAAGTTGCATTTGCATTGTGAAGTCCTATTAAATTCACAGAGCAATGACGACTCTACTTTGAACATACATGTCCTTGCTATTATTTTTCTGTTGAGCTTGAAAATCAGGCTCTTGTGATCTGCATGTGGTTCTGGGACTGGTCCAATAAATCAGTGACAGATACAACAGCAGATCTTGGAGTGTCAAAGTGAGTAAGAATGATCATGGNGGTTCTGGGACTGGTCCAATAAATCAGTGCCAGATACAACAGCAGATCTTGGAGTGTCAAAGTGTGTCAGCCTGCTCATGGATAGCCTGGCACGTTTTAGGCACGGCCTGGAATGCTTTAAGCGTGATACATGCTACATCGAACTATTCTAGGCCTGGCAGATTTAGGGTGTCAAAGTGTGACAAGCCACACATGCTCGAGTGGTGTGGCATGCTTTAGGCATGGACTACGCCTACGTTTGGGCCATATAGAGCCCCACTGTAGGGGCTTGCTGCTGCATGGGCCCACCTAGGAAAGCCTACTAAAATAATAAAGAAGATACATATGCAAAAAATAAAGAGGAAACTATATAAAATCATGAGTTTAGTTTGACGTTTTTAA